CTCCTCGTCCACTCCCCAACACACTCACAACACACTCACAACACCCCACGTTAGTATTGGTCCAGTTTGTTAAGGTCAACGTAGTGTACTTGACATGACGCACAAACATATAACATACACAAACATATAACATACACAAACATATAACACACACAAACATATAGACAACACAGGAGGCCTGTAATTTTAACTTTGTTATATTTTTCCATGTCCAATTACAATTGTCTCATGAGCTATTTCTATTGTTGCAACTTTCAGAGCCTGCAGAACATGCAGAGCTCTAAGAGGTTTTTCCTAAAAGGATCCATTTCCAACTTTAGTGTTTACCACGTGGTCTGTACTTCGGGCTTATCACAGATTGTGTCCCCTATATCTTTAATGAGCTCTTGTTACTTTGAAATGTTTTTTTTTCTCCTTCTTTTTTCTTTTTCAATAAAGCCAGGTCGGATTCATTAAAAAATGTAAATTAGTCTCAAACTTTAATACTTCACCTTTGTTTCACGTTCATGTGGAGAAAAGACCATTGTTTTATGTGTGTGTACTTGCACCAATCATGTCTCAGATGAACGGCCAACAGTTGTATTAAAGACATAACTGTCCTAATTGTTTCTAATTTAGCATTTTCAGAGAACCACGTGTCCTCATCTTGGACCTGTGTCCAGTCCCCAGCATTGCTACACTTATCAATAAGGACAGAAGCCTCACTCCACGCTGCAGTTGTGGGTTTGGACAAAGCTATGTGCAAAGCGGGACATAGTGGGTCGATAAAATGTTCTTATTGCTCATTAAGTAGCACAGATACCATAGAGTAGTGCCTATCCCAATAAACGTACTCCGTTAGCCTATCTTCACTACACTGAAGCCATGAATTTTGTGAAGCGACCACTCATTTGAGAACGGACCAAAATCTGTCCCCTTATGTTTTGTTTTAAACACAGGATTTGTTGTCCCTGAATCATCCAGAATTTTAACTGTTACACCACAGATTGTTAGCGTATATTACGGGAATTCAGCATGAATTATCTCTAAAAAGTGCCAATTGCAATTTGTTCTTGTTCAAACTTACATGAGCGGTCGCTTTGGTGACGAATGTGAACCCGGGTTTGGTCAGTCGCTCGTGTTTCCTCCACGCCCGCCTCTGCCGTCCTCTGGCCCCGTGTGAGCTTGAGCGTTCCTCTGCCTTTAACGCCTCCTCCGGTGACAGTCCTTCGACACATGTCGAGCACACAGTCTTTCCGCCGGGCTGTGGAAGTTTCTCAAAGTCCGCAGGAGGCCCAGGTAGCCCAAAGCGTTAGCCTGTGGTCCATGAGGGTTGGTGAATAACCAAACGTGCCGGTCCCAATGGCTTCTTCTGTTTGCGGTGCGGGGGCAACTTTCAACGGGGTTTCAGCGGGTGCGTTTGGTGTTTCACGCTGCCGCCTCCGTGGGGAACAGTCACGGGATTTGGAGCAGTTTGTCTCTGGCCTCCAAAGCAGTTGTCGGTGTCTCACATATCTGCTTCCGCCGCTTCTTCTTCTGCGGTTTCCTGAGCGTGTATCTGCTTCCGCCGCTTCTTCTTCTGCTCCCGGGTTTGGGCCCACTTCTCGCGGGGTCTCAGCTGGTGCGAGCGCCGCCGTGGTTGGGGCGTGGGGCTGGTGCTGGGGCTTTGAGGCAGAGGACAGAGCGCGGAGGAAAGCGCCGACAGACCTGGACAGGGAGAGGAAAAGGGGACAACAGTAGTCTGCTCATTTTTTAAAAACCCAACGCCTTGTTTGGGCGCGTACTTAGCATGGAGTTCTGCTCCTTCTGTGAAAGGGTTAGTAGGTGAGAAAGGGCGATAGGGTGGGGGGGGTGTGGGATGTGTGTGTGTGTGTGTGTGTCCGCCTGTGTGTTCTCCGCTTCGGTGAAAAGCGGAGGAGCTATTGTTTTTACATATTTCTTTCTCTAACGTCTTTTGCCGTGATATTCTTAAAACCAAGTATATTTTTTCCCTTTCTTCTTCTAAATTATCACGCAAGATGCGTAATTGATTCGGAGACATAGAGCCTCCATCGGAAAAGCCAAATGAACTGCACCATAAAGGCAAGCACTCCATAGCTTTAGATCCGAACTGTTTTCCCATCGCCATTGTAACGGGGGACGTTAACATTCCCCTCGGTGTGGCATCTCTAGATTGATTTTTCCCCATTTTCTCGTACAGAACAATGGACCTAACCCGTTTAGTCTCTCCCTGCTCTTACTCACTTTGGAGCGCTCCGTTCCCCCCCCGTGGGTTCTATATACCCAACGAGCGCGCGTTCTTGAAACGGAGCGGGCCTGGCTGAAGGCACTAGAGATATCTCCAGGGTCGCTTACTGAGCGATACTAACACGCAGCCGCTAGCTTCAATCTAGAACAAAATACCCCAAAAATCCCGCACACAGTCTATGCTGTGGCAATGGATGAAATACCCCAAAAATACGTAAATAAATCAAAACCCCGTGTACACTTAAGTGCTGCCCTGGGCTTGTTACGCAGATGAAAAGACAAAACTCACCAAATCAGGTTCTTTTTGGTCTTGTGTGGCCAAAGATTCCTTTCACGCGCCGGACGAGCGCGCCCTCCCTTTGTCTCCAAATAGAGCAGAGGCTGGTGTTGTTCCAGGTCGGCCAAACGCAGCCGCTCGTCCCCGCCGAAAAGATCCCATGCCAAGACATGCCAGCAACGCCAAATTGTTGTAGAATTACATACCCCAATGAAGGAGAAAGCTCAAAGGTATTTGTCTTAATCAGGAGCGTAAGTTTATTGTACACACGTGCGGAGAGCTCACATACACAAAGCAGCGTCCATAAGCTCTGACGCGGGCAGACCAGGTTCCTGTTTACATAGACAACACATGAAAGACAGTCCCGCCCACAAAAGATGGGAGGGGGTCACCAGTACAGGAGGCGCATCCAGAGGCGAGGCGCCATGCCCGTGGGGAGGCAATCAGACCGTGCCATGGAGATGCAAGCAGAGAGACAATGGACATGCAGGATGTAGAGATGCAGACATACAGATGCAAGATGCAAAAGGGACAAGGGTGAGACAGTCATTGTCTGTAGGTGCGGGGGGAAGCCCGGCTCCTTCCTGCAGGTTAATTGAATAGAACCAGCGGGGGGGGGTGAGTTGGCGTCCCCGAGTCTAGGCAGCTTGCCATCACACTGGTCTCTCGGGTCTCTCTCTCTGGTCTCTCTCTGGTCTTTCTCTGGTCTCTCTAGTCTCTATGGTCTCTCTCTGGTCTCTCTCTGGTCTCTCTCTCTGGTCTCTCTCTGGTTTCTCTGGTCTCTCTCTGGTCTCTCTCTAGTCTCTCTCTCTGGTCTCTCTCTCTGGTCTCTCTCTGGTCTTTCTCTGGTCTCTCTCTCTAGTCTCTCTCTAGTCTCTCTCTGGTCTCTCTCTAGTCTCTCTCAAAGGGGGTGAACATTTCTAATGTAAACGTGGTCGATGTTGCGCTTTCGGATCATTTTTGTATATTTTTTGACATGTGTTTCACTAACAAACCACCAGTGGACTCTGCAACTGTACGAAGAAGACACATAAATGAAAATACGGGTGAACTATTTATGGGAATGATAAACTTTGAGAATGCATCGTATTCTACTGTAGATGAACTGTTTAACTCTGTCACCTCTAGTGTTTTGAAACAAAACTGAAATGATTGTTTTTGGTCCCCAGAAACAAAGAGAGAGCGTCATCTGTCATCTACAGTCTCTCTCCCTAAAACTTTCAAACAAGGTCAGAAATCTAGGGGTAATACTGGACTCAGAAATTTTAATAGCCACATCAAATCAGTAACATCAGCAGCTTTTTACCATCTAAAAAACATTTCCAGGATCAAAAACATAGTGTCTAAAGCAGACTTGGAGATTCTTATCCATGCATTTGTCTCCAGTAAGTTAGACTACTGCAATGGCCTGCTCACAGTTCTGTCCAAACAGGCTGTAAAACAGCTGCAGTACATTCAAAATGCAGCAGCTCGAGTCCTGACTAGAACCAGGAAGTACGACCACATTAGTCCAGTTCTCAGGTCTCTGCACTGGCTTCCTGTGGCTCAGAATAGACTTTAAAACAGCTCTGCTTGTGTATAAGTCTCTCCATGGCCTCGCACCAAAATATATTAGTGACATGTTAGTCCCATATGAACCAGCTCGGACTCTGAGGAGCACAGGGACTGGACTCCTGTTAGTGCCCAGAGTCAGAACTAAACATGGGGAGGCTGCTTTTTAGATTCATGCTGCTAAAATCTGGAACAGTCTTCCTGAAGATGTGAGACAGGCCTCCTCTCTGACAATGTTTAAAACCAGGTTAAAGACAGTTCTGTTTAGCTGTGCATACAACTGGGGGATTTTATATTTTTATCTTTCGTTTTAATGTTCTGTGATTATTTATGATTTTAATGCTATCTTGTTCAGCACTTTGAGTTGCCTTGTGTATGAATTGTGCTATACAAATAAACTTGCCTTGCCTTGCCTCTCTCTCTGGTCTCTCTCTCTGGTCTCTCTCTGGTCTCTCTCTAGTCTCTCTCTCTGGTTTCTCTCTGGTTTCTCTCTGGTCTCCCTCTCTGGTCTCCCTCTCTAGTCTCTCTCTGGTCTCTCTCGGGTCTCTCTCTCTGGTCTCTCTCTGGTCTGACTCTCTGGTCTCTCTCTGGTCTCTCTCTGGTCTCTCTCTCTGGTCTCTCTCTGGTCTCTGTCTGGTCTCTCTCTGGTCTCTCTAGTCTCTTTCTGGTGTGACTCTCTGGTCTCTCTCTGGTCTCTCTCTCTGGTCTCTCTGGTCTCTCTCTGGTCTCTCTCTCTGGTCTCTCTCTCTGGTCTCTCTCTGGTCTGCATCTGACCAATGTTTAATGTTTAAGTATTTATGTCAGATTTAGTCCCATCGTAAATGCATTAAAACACATTTCTTACCTGTTCTGTTGATGGTTGAACCATGGACCCAGAGTAACATGGTCTTTCTCTCCACACAGATCCTCAGTGTCCAGTGCTGTGTCCCTGAAGAGTGACGGGTCTATGTGGAATCCACCAGAGTTCATTCTTGAAGCTGCTTCTTCAAACCCACAGTGAGAACAAAGGAAACACTAAAGGGGCGTTCACACCGGACTTAACTTCGGCGTCAAAAGCGTCAGGTTTGCATTGAAAGTGAATGGTGAAGCGCGTCAGGTGAAGCCGAGAGCCCCGGCGTCACTTGGCGCGCGTCAAAGCTTCAAAAGTAATACGCGCTCACTTGAAGCTTTTGACGCGCGAAACGCTCGCGTATCAAAACAATCCCTTTGACGCCGAAGCTGAGCAAAGCTGAGCTTTTGAAGCTTTGACGCGGGCTTCAACCAATCAGGAGACGAGGAGCAGCAGCAGCAGCGGGTCTGTCTCTGTCATGAAGAGAAGTCATGTATCTGTTGCTGCTGTTTTGTTGTCATTATTGTTATTAGTAATATTATTTGTATGAGTAGTAACGTTCTGAGTAACAAAAATCATAGTACACATGCTGTGTAGTAAATGTAGTTTATTTAATATAAGAACAGGCTGACGATGAGTCTGGCTCAGAGCAAGAGCCGGGGAGAGGCAGGGAGAAAAGAGCGAGAGCCGGGGAGAGGCAGGGAGAGGCGAGAGCGAGGCGGGGAGAGGCGAGCGAGAGCCGGGGAGAGGCAGGGAGAGGCGAGCGAGAGGCGGGGAGAGGCGAGAGCGAGGCGGGGAGAGGCGAGCTCCGGGGTTTGAGAACTCAGACTGGGCGTGTGACATGCGGAAGTACCGCTGAAAGCGAAACTCCTCCGTACGCAGCTCCTGGAGTAAATGACGGAACTCTGCAAACAATGCAGCCTATCAAGTCTGTGGTGAACCCAGAACATGTTTTGTTGAAGCCCTACAACAACGTTATTTTGCTTTATATAACAAATAAAGGCTCGCTGCTCATTGAAAAATCCACCGCTGTCCTGACTACAGACAACAGAGAAGCTCCTCCCACCGGCGTCAGGCGCGTCACTCGCGTCAAAAGCTTCAAGCACCAAAATGACAAAACTATCCTGGCGTCAGCTGAAGTGCGTCAAAAGCTTTTTGAAGCGTTTGGTCTGAACGCGCCTTAACACTGATCTGACTTTAGATTACATTTATATTTAAAGTTCACGACTGGACAGAGTGAGGCTTAGTCATAGAATCACCAGTGGATTAAACATGAACATCACATGTGAAAAGAGGGTTCATGGTCCATGACAATGGAACGTGTGTATTTTAGTAATGTGCTTTTGTGAAATAAAGTGTATATTGTTGCACATTTGACCTTGTAGTGAGAGCTGCATGTGCTCATGGTGCTTCAGTCTCATCACAGTGGTCTGTACCATGCTTTAGGATCCAGTGTTTAGGAGGTGTTCTCTGCTGTGGGACCCCCGCACCAGAAAACATACAGAACCATTGATCCTGGAGCTCTGTAGACACAGATCAGAAGGTACCATCTGACCACAGCTACACTACGAGGTCAAACACACAACAACATCACCTTTACTACACACAAAGTCTCATCAATGTTATTTATATACTTTTAATAAACCATTACAGCTCTAATATCCAATGTTTTTGTCCAGAGAAAAGTCACTGCTGGACTCCAGCCCCAGGGCCCAAGACCTCAGGACCCAAGACCTCAGGACCCAAGACCTCAGGACCCAAGACCTCAGGACCCAAGACCTCAGGGCCCAAGACCTCAGGACCCAAGACCTCAGGGCCCAAGACCTCAGGACCCAAGACCTCAGAGCCCAAGACCTCAAGGCCCAAGACCTCAGAGCGACACAAGGTTTGTCTGTTTCCCTGTTTATGACCAGAGGTAGAAAACACACAATGCACTCAGTTCAAAGAACTGTTGTTACTTTGTAATTGTTTTACTGCAGTAAATGTTTCCATCTAGGATTTATAATGTGAGCGACAGTTACAGGATATAAACAAATGCAAGTAAAGGCTTTAAAGATAGTCTTTTTTCTCCATCTAACGTTGAGATCATATTTTACAGTCAACTCTCGAGCGCCACGCAGTTAAAGTAGCAACGATATTAGTATCACCTGTGAGATCACAAACTCGATCCTCACGTCCTTTTTGTCTCTTATGTTTGTGTGTGTTTGAAGATGGTGCATTCACACGGAGCCACTTCCAGCCTCATGGACATTTATAGGTCACATTCTAAGCCTTTAACAACTATTCACAAATATAGTGGAGGAGAATATTCTTAAGGTCTCATTTAGATGTTTTTCATTTGGAACAAGTGTAAAAATACTGAGTCTGTACCTTTAACATCTCCTCAATTATAGAAACATTTCCTCCTGTTTAATCTGAATATAACGATACGTGGACAAACCAGTCTGACACCTGCTCCTGAAAGTATTCCACCTCTTTCACTTTTATATCATTTTCAACAGTGAAGCACGATATATTGGTATAAATATCGATATCAGCCGATGTTCATCAATCCATGTTCAGGCTTGCTAGAGGATACTCGATTACAGAACTATAAATCATCTTTATGAAACACAACAGTATTATTATAGCATGAAATGTACCACTTTTAATACTATGTTAAACCTTATCTAGTTTTTAATGTTATCAATTATTATTGGTGACTATTTATTCTTGTCTATTTTTATCCATTACTCTTTTTATAACTACTACAAACGCTGCATTAAAGATAGTTTTCACTCAAAATAAGAGCCACAAAAAGCTCCTGTGTGCCTTTTCCCACATCGCCCATTCTAACTAAAATAAAATACATTCTGAAAATAGAGAAATAAATTCAGTATGTACAAACTTTTATCATCTCAGAATTATTATTATTATTATTTTATAAACATCGTTATCAGCAAATACTGGTTATCGGCCATAATAGAAACATTAATATCGGATATCAAAATCGGCCAAAGTGTTCATATCGGTGCATCCCTAATTTTCATTTCTACAGCTGTAATCTCAACGGTTTTCATTTTCCTGTCAATCTACTCGGAATACTCTATGACAAAGTTTAAGATGTTTTTTAGGATTCTTTGCCGTTTGGTTAAGAATCAAACACAAAGAATCCCATGTACATAAGTGTTCAAATAGTCCAAACTGCATGAAGGTGGTTGAGTACTTTCTGGATGCACTGTGCCACTAAAGCTGAAGTAAACTCTGCTGAGACTTACATCTTTCACAGATAAAAGGAGACTCTGGAAACAGGGGAATAAGCTCTAAATGAAACATGCTGAATAGAAGTAATATAAAAGAAACACATGATTAAACTGTTACGTCTGCATTCCTCTCACAGAAGAAGAGCTCCAGAAGCTTCTGCAGGATCATAAACAGCGTCTGATCAGCAGATGTGGGAGTGTGGCCGAGGGAACAGAAGGAGCAGGAAGTACTCCTCTGAACAGCATCTTCACTGAGCTGTACATCACAGAGGGCCTCAGTGAACACACCACAGCCCAGCATGAGGAGCGGAGGCTGAGGGAACTCTCCAAGAAGACTGCCCAGCATGAGGAGCAGAGGCTGAGGGAACTCTCCATGAAGACTGCCCAGCATGAGGAGCAGAGGCTGAGGGAACTCTCCAAGAAGACTGTGCAGGAAACCTCCATCAGGTGTCAGGACATCTTTAAAGCACTGCCCACTGAGGAGCAGCAGGGGGCGCCACAGTCCATCAGAGCAGTGCTGACCTGTGGCGTGGCTGGAGTGGGGAAGACCTTCTCAGTCCTGAAGTTCTGTCTGAACTGGGCTCAGGGCTCAGAGAACCAGGAGCTGGAGCTGGTGGTGCCGCTGTCCTTCAGAGAGATGAACCTGGTGAAAGGGCAGCGCTACAGTCTGATGCAGCTCATACAAGTGTTCCATCCAGCGCTGGAAAAACAGGTGCTTTATCTTCTGCTTCAGTCCAGTTCACAGTGTTTACTTTCAAACATTTATTATAGTGTTTAACACAACTGAGAACTTCTCCCAGCCCTGAGCTGATGGCGTTTGAATCAGTAACTAATAAAACGTTATAAAAACACCTTCATTCCCTGGTGTCAAACTGATGTCACATGATCATCATGCTCAGAAACTGCTCTGCATTCATCATGTATGACTTGGTAACTGTCATGTTCTTGTGTCCACAGACTCTCTCTCCACACTCTCTGTCCGTCTCTAAACTCCTCTTCATCTTAGACGGCCTGGACGAGAGCAGACTGGGTCTGGACTTTGACTGTGAGCTCATCTCTGAGGTCACACAGAGCTCAGACGTCAGTGTGCTGATAGTGAACCTCATCAGAGGCACTCTGCTTCCTACTGCCCTTATATGGATCACCTCCAGACCAGCAGCAGCCAATCAGATCCCAGCACAGAGTGTGCACAGAGTCACAGAGGTCAGAGGCTTCATCACTGAGCGTCAGAAGGAGCAGTACTTCAGGAAGAGGTTCACAGATGAAGAGCAGTGTAAGACAGTCCTGTCCCACATCAGAAGCTCCCGCAGCCTCCACATCATGTGTCAGATCCCCATCTTCTGCTGGATCACCGCCACCGTCCTGGACCACATGTTGAGAACCGATCGAAGCGGAGCGCTGCCCCAGACTCTCAGCGACATGTACGCTGGCTTCCTATTGGTGCAGACCAACAGAAAGAGAAAATACCAACCGAGACCTGAGGCCCGTTCAGAGAAAAGCAGTTTTTGGTCTGGTCAGGTTCAGAAGCTGAAACAAGATCCAACAGTGGTGTCGACAGAAGCAGACATCCTCCTGAAGCTGGGCAGACTGGCCTTTGAACATCTGCTGCAAGGAAACATAATGTTCTACCAGGAAGACCTGGAGCAGGTGGGACTGGACCTGACCGAGGCCTCGGTCTACTCAGGACTCTGTACAGAGATCTTCAAACAAGAAATGGTTGTCTTCAACCAATCTGTCTACAGCTTCGTCCACCTGAGTGTCCAGGAGTTTATGGCAGCGGTTTACCTGCTGCACTGCTTTGGAAGTGACATGCAAGTCGTTGAGAAGTTTCTCTGTGAAAAGACTCAGACAAAGTTAAGTGCAAGTGAGTTTCTCAGAAAGTCTCTTGATAAATCCCTGAGTGGTTCAAACGGTCGCCTGGACCTGTTTGTGCGCTTCCTTCATGGCCTCAGTCTGGACTCCAACCAGAGACTTTTAAAAGGTCTGCTGAATCCAGTGGAACAGTCAGAAATCCACAAAGTCATTGAAAACCTCAAAGAGATGAGCTCAGAGGAGGAGTCTTCAGACAGAAGCATCATCATCTTCCACTGTCTGATGGAGATGAAGGACCAGTCTCTCCTGCAGCTGATCCAGCTTCTCCTGAAGTCTGGAAGGGACTCAGCAGACGAACTGTCTGTGTTCCAGTGCTCTGCTCTGGCCTACATGCTGCAGATGTCAGACCAGGTCCTGGAGGAACTGGAACCAAAGAAGTACAACACGTCTGCAGAAGGTTGTAGGAGACTGATCCCTGCTGTGAGGAACTGCAGGAAGGCTCGGTCAGTCCTCACAAACTGCTTCAAGTCCTGATCAGACTCTAACATATTTAAATCTAACGTCTGTTTACAGGTTGTGTGACTGTAGACTCTCAGAGACCGACTGTGAAGTGGTGGCATCAGCGCTGAGTTCCAGCCCCTCCCTTCTCACTGAACTGGATCTGAGTCGTAATGAACTGAGTGACTCAAGTGTGTCTGTGCTGTGTGCTGGACTGCGGAGTCCTCACTGTGAGCTCTCCTCTCTCAGGTGAGTGTCCTTCATTTAAACCTCAGGGATCCTCATGTTTGTGAGAGCTGTGTATCGTCCACATAACTGTGGGAGCAAGTTCCTCCTGATGACACAGAGGGAGCAGCACCGGTTAAAATGAACCATAATGTATTATTCACATCATTACAGTTTAGCACTAAACAGTGGTCTTGTTTATCAAGATGTATAGAGCTTGGAAGTGGGCGGAGATTCAGGGTCTGGAAGTAAAATCCATCTTACTATGATTAAGGCTTAGAACGTTCTTTTAATAAGACACAGCTGTGAAGACAACATCAGGGACACTTTTCTGTTGTTGGACGCACAAACTATAGTCACTTTTTAAATGTGATTATTCACAATATAAGCCTTTAATATAAAGCCTCATGTGGTGTATGTAATTCTAGACTTAAATATATAAAAGTGTTTCATTCTTATTACTATTATTCATTTCACTAAGTGGTGTTTCCATGAATGCATCACTGTTTTAAACATATAGTTTATTCTGTAAAAATGGGTCAGTAGTTGATCTGAGGCTTCTAGATTTAGGCCTGAATGTGTCCACAGCAGCTGTGGTCATGAACCTGAGCCGCTCTGTGGACTTCAGGACATTATTTAGAAGTGGTCGTTGGTTCGAATCCTGTCCCTGTGCTCTTGGACTCTTGTCGTTTCTCTGGTGTGTGACAATGGGTTTAATATCTTAAAGGAGACGTACTGTGCTTTGCTCTGATGTTTAATCTATGACACGTGTGGATCATTCTTATATATTTGGAACATGTTCAGTCTCAGAATATCAAAGCAACGAGCAGTGGAGTCTTTGCATGTGTGCCAAAATGCCTGCTGATCATCCACATGTCAGATTACAGGGAATACAGACGACCCAGGTCTTTGTGTGTGATATGTGACATCATTATGAATCCTTTGTATTGTTATTGTTCATGTGTTTCCCACTGCTCAGCTGTTGTTCTTGTTTGGCATTATTCCTCAGCTTGTATCGTAGTCTATAAGATCACGATGCTCATTACATCATGTTTTCTTTATTCAGGTTGTGGAACTGTGGTTTGTCAGAGATCAGCTGTTCCTCTGTGGCCTCAGCTTTGGAGTCCAACCCCTCACATCTCACATTCCTGGACCTGAGTCTGAACGATCTGTCTGATTCAGCAGTGTCTGATCTGTGTGGTTTTCTACAGAGTCCAGACTGTCGACTGGAGACACTCAGGTCAGTTCACTGCACAGAAACACTACACACTAAAGTGTTTCATATGAAACTGCAAACACACTTTAAATTATTATAAATGATTCACACAAACATCTGTTACTGTCAATGTCTTTAACTCATGTTTATATTATGTTCAAATAGTTTCTCACATTTATGTACCACTTACATGGAACTTCAAAGCTACAACTGTGTTTAAGGCTGAGAAAAGTCTCATGTTTTTGGGGCCGGACTTTAACAAGTTCATTAAGATTAATTAATTACACAAAAATGTGTGCGTTAAAAAAATGGACGCATTTTAATCGTATTTATTTTTGCATCGCGGAACATTTCTCACTGGATGAGTTTCAGACGGACCGATTATACTGACGCACCAACTGACAACAAACCACAGTGAACATGAACCATGGATCTATTATAATAACTGGGTATTACAGCTTGGAGCTGAAGGACCCATGTGCTCACTGCAGATAAACCAGACTAAACAGACTAGACCAGACTAAACCAGACTAACCCAGAATAAACCATCTAAACCAGGTCTAAACCAGGCTAAACCAGACTAAACCAGACTAACCAGACTAAACCAGACTAAACCAGACTAAACCAGACTAAACCAGACTAAACCAGACTAAACCAGACTAAACCAGACTAAACCAGACTAAACCAGACTAAACCAGACTAGAACAGACCATAAACCAGACTAAACCAGACTAAACCAGATTAAACCAGACTAAACCAGACTAAACCAGACTAAACCAGACCGTTGGTTGGCCCTGTGGATGGGAAGTATATTTCTAAATATGGTATTGCACTTAAAGGCAAAACTTGCACTGGTCTGTTGGACTTGAACAAAAATAAACAATATTTGTGTTGCTTAAACTTAATGTATTCATCATTATTTAATGTTTACTAAAAATCCATGTGAAAAAAGGTTGCGGGGGGTGGGGGGCGACGACGTCGGGGGGGGGGGGTGGGTCGGGGGGGGGGGGGGGAGGGGGGGGGGGGGGGGGGGGGGGGGGGGGGGGTGGGGGGGGGGATGGGGGGGGGGGGGGGTCCAAATAGAGTGGGGGTGGGGGTGAGGGGTGAGGGGGGGTGGGGAGTGTGGAAAGAGTGGGGGGTGATGGGGGGGGGTGTATGGGGGTATAAGGGGGGGGGGGGGGGGTGACAGGGGGAGGGGGAGGGAAGGAGGGGGGGGTACGGGGGGGGGGGGGGGTGGTGGGGGGGGGGGGTGTGGTTGAGGGTGAGGTGGTGGGGGGGGGGGTGGGGGGAGGGGGGGGCGAGGGGTGCACAGTGGGGGTGGGGGGGTTGGGGGGGTAGGGATAAGTGTGTTTGTTGAATGTTAGGGGGGGATTGAGTAGGGTAGGGGGTGGGGTAGGGAGTTGGGAAGTGGGGATGGGGGGGGAAGATGAGTGGGGGGGGAGGTGTGTGGGTGTTCAAGGGGGGGGGGGTGGTTGGGGGTGGGGTGTTGTGATTGGGTGGGGGTTCAAGTGTGGTGCTGTCTCTTTAAATGCGTATTAAGGGAAATGAGGCCACCTTTTGAACCGCCCCCATCCGTGACACAGGTTCAACTCCACCCGAGCGGCCATTTTTTTAGTTACTAAGCACAAATACAATTATCTCATAGAAACTTCTCATTACATCGCAAACATGAAGCAGTCCTTCCTCATTGACTGAAAGCAAATGTTAATTTTCATTCTTAGTCCAGTCTTATTATCGACTCTTCTCTTTTTAGCTTTGGGATGCGCACAGTCTATGATGCTCACACGCCGGTTTGTTTACAACAGCGGCCGCCTGGCGCGGGCCTACGTCGCAGGATATGACGCACTACGTTGACGGAAATGTTTAAATTGAATATTACTTATGCACAATTTTTACAGCATTTAAAAACTTTGAGAACGTTTTTCCTTCTACAGAAGGAAAGAGACGCATGCGCCTCCGGAGCCGCAGGTTGCCGACTCCTAGTTTATACAGTATGTGGAAGCAAATACTGTAGAGCAGTGTCTCCCAAAGTGGGGTCCGCGGCCCCCTGGTGGGCCGCGAGGGTACTGCAGGGGGGCCGCGGGAGGTCATAAAAAAAAAAAATATATATATATAATATATAATTATTTAATGTTAAATTTATAATGTTTTGTTTGTAATATTAAAATATTTGTGTTCATTATTTGACTTGAATAATCCACTGTAATCATTTTTGTATTACAATGTTTGTAGCAGAGGCTATTTCCCCAAAATAAAATAACCAGAAGAGCCTATTCTTAATGTTGTCTTCTTGTTATTATTTTGGGGGGCCACGCAGACCCGTCAGATTTTTAAGGGGGCCTCGGTGTTACTGAGTTTGGGAATGGCTGCTGTAGAGGATCAGGATATGTGCAGTTTCAACAATAAAATAAAATGCAATAGTCTTACATTACAAGAGGGTAATGAACATGTCCTCAGAGTGAGGGAGGTGGACACAGACAACACTATTGTTTGTTACAGGGATGAGAATTGTCAAAAAAGACTGAAATACATATTGTCAGCCATTTGCTGGCTCTAAATCTGTCTAATTTGTTCACAACATATTACTTTTGGGCTCAAACATGAACTTTTTATTCAATGCAAAATGTAGGTATCAGAGCTTTATTTAGGGCGTTTAATCGCGCTTCAAGAGGAGAGGGGAGACGCGGACTGTTTCCTGCAGCAGTGTATTTATTGGGTGCACAGATTACTCAAAGACACGCATGGTCCTGTGCGCGTTTATGGGGTTGGGTACATGGCCACGTTGAGGCTGCACGCTCAGCCACAACACGGTGGAGCGGCTGCGAGCGGCTGGACCCTCACAGCCTCTCGCAGCCGCTGGACGCGGAAGCTGCTCATTACAAAGCGGCCGCAGATGCCCCGGAACACTGCGGCCGCTGAGGTGGCGGAATCCCGTTCGAGTACATACAACAGGTGCCCCGCGGATACGCGCGCCCCGCTCCAACAATTCTCAACGGATTTACACTTCTCATAAACATGTGTTTTATATGAGGCAGACAGACCGGCCCAAATATGGGCATCGGCCCTTTGGGCATTGCCCGGTACGCCCGATGGCCAGTCCAGCCCTGTTCGCTGGCATCCTTGAGCTTGGACTACAAATTCGAAGTGATGCACAGTAGAGGAGGGCTGGGCCGAAGTGTTTTGTTAGACGCTCATGCCCTTATATGGCAGTCTCGCTGCAAATACTGTGACGTAATAATTCTAAACACGTAATAGAGAATGGCAAAATCAGAACGGGTTGAAAAATCTTACCTAAACAGAATATGAAGTGTTCTCTGCAACCCATGAAGAGACTGATTTCAACTTTTTTGCACTTCTAGAGGCTCCAACTACACAACATAAGGCATTTAAGACACAAAAAGTGGATTTTTCATGATATGTCCCCTTTAACTGGGGGGGGCCCTGTTCGGTGACGCTCTGGTATGTGCTGCTCCTCCATGGCTGAGGTGGATCAGCTCGTCTTCATAACCCAGTCTTCTTTAGGGATGCTGGGATGGGCTAGCTGCTGTTTAACCGTTGTGCACCTTCTTGTTTTATTAGTTTGTTTTGTTTATTTTCCTTGGGGAGGGTTGTTTTCTATTGTCCCCCAAGTTTTCTTTTACCCTTCCCCTCATCCTTCTGGCAGACTGCATGTACTCGGCTCATTACAATATAGATGTCTGGATTATTGGAACTTCACGTGTCCGAGGGCTAAACAAATTGGTTGAATTAAAACAAGTTATGAACAGGATAAGAAGTTATAAAAGCCAAAGTTGTATTTCTCCAAGAAACACATTTGACAGCTGAGGATATCATTAGAGTGAGGAGAAGATGGCCAGGTCATGTGTTTCATTCCTCCTTTAGCTCTCAATCCAGGGGTGTAATCACACTGATTCACAAATCACTACCTTTTCATTTGATAAATACGGTGCAGGACAAGGCTGGGAGAGCCAGTTGAATTTTGTGAATGTATATGGTAGAAATGACGACACTCCATCCTTTTTTCGTAATCTATTTTTGTCCTTGGCTTCATTAGCTGGGCATTTAATTATTGGGGGTGACTTCAATTGTACACTCTATCCAAATATTGATAGACTGTCTGGGATTGACACCTCACACCTGCAGACTCGGAAAGAGCTGCTCCAGTGTATGGTGGAATTTAACGTTGTAGATCTGTGGAGAAAAGATGCATCCAGATGAGCTCGCATTCTCTTGCTATTCGAGCTCCCACAGTTCTCTTTCAAGAATTGATTATTTTCTTATATCAGCACAATTGATGCCCCATGTTACTCATTCTTGGTAAAGCAGTATTGTTTTATTAGATCATGCCAGTGTCTCTTTTCTATTAAGATTGCCTAACCTACCTCCCTCGACCACTAGATGGCGCCTTCAGACCTTTTGGCTCAAGGATCCGATTTCTTAGAATATATAGAACAACAAATAGATTTTTATTTTGACTATAACGCGGACCAAACCTCTGCAAGTTTACGTTGGGAGGCCTTCAAAACTTTCAATTACAATGGACCCCAAAAAGATAAAAGTGTTCTAGTTTTTACCAAACTCTTTATGAATCAGAATGTTCTGATAGTGCCTTACCTAAACAGAACCACTTTTTGGACCAGTTGAACTTCCCCACTCTTGAGGATAACAGTGCAGAGGAGCTAGAACTCAGCATTACGAAAGAGGAGATTATTAAGGCCATGTTGTGCATGAAGGGAGGTAAAAGTCCAGGACCGGACTCAATACCAATGGAAATATTCAAAGCTTTTAAAGATAAAACTTGCACAACCCTTGCTAGATATGTATCAGGAATCCTTTAAGAATGCGTCCCTGCACTCATCATTAAATATTGCCACAATTACTTTGTTGTTGAAGCCCAATAAACCAGCAGCCGATTGTAGCTCTTATAGGCCAATTTCACTTCTAAATTGTGACTCTAAAATCCTGTGTAAAGTACTGGCTCCAAGACTTGAACCACTTTTACCTAACAATAATACATCTGGACCAAAACGGGAACACAAAATGTGATTTATTGCGATTAATTCATTACAAAGCCTTTAATTAATTAGATCTTTTTTTAAATCGAGTCCCAGCCCTAGTTCTTGGGGAAAAAGGGTTTGTAGTTTTTAGTTTTATAAATTCTCCACCACTGCTCCTGACGTAAGCCTCAGCACATCTGGGTCAAATGTAGACTGCCTTATCTGACCTACACTCGGTCATTATCATTTCCTGCATGTAACGTCTGGTCTGGTCCCTGTGTTTTGTGATTACAATCGGCTGAATCCCATCCGACCAATCGGAGAGCGCGGGAGGCGGGTGTTGTAGTTAGATGTGGGTGACATCAAGAGTTTGTGCCGAACGGGCAGGTTGTAGTTTGGCGGAGAATACGATAGTAAAGTATTCTGAATCTGGTTCTATCAAGAAACTGAAGCCGGAGCAAGAGGAATGTTTAGCAATGTAATCTCTGGAAAAGATTGTGGCTCTACTCCCCACGGGCTCCGTTAGCGCCAAAGGAGATGGCTAAAGCTAGGCTAAATGCTAAATGCTAAATGCTAACGACTCACTCGGGGGTCATTACAAACGTCACGTAAACTCAGATCCAAATGGTTTCAATCTGCAAAAGGAGTTAGCCCCTCCCACCTGTTAACGGAGTCTGTGTGTACTATGCTGTGGTACGACCAGGCTGGGCAAATGCAGAGGGATGAATTATCCTACGGGATTAATAAAGTTTATCTTTACCTGACCCAAAATCTTGTGGGGAAAAAAATAATAATTAAAAAAAAGAATAATGATAAAATACTAATAAAATACATTTGTTTAATGTAAAAAATGTCAAAATGTGTCCTTTTTAAATCAATAAAACCTCAGCAGTATTCTATTGCACAGCTGTTCCTCTGTGGCCTCAGCTCTGGAGTCCAACCCCTCACATCTCACACTCCTGGACCTGAGGGGGAACGATCTGTCTGATTTATACTGTCGACTGGAGAGACTCAGGTCAGTTTTCACTGCACAGAAACACTACACACTAAAGTGAATATATAATTTTGAAATTTTTTGGATGAGTACATTTTGAAATTTTTGAGCAACACTTTGTGGATGTGGGTGTGTGTGCCATAAAACTTATTATTTTACATTAAAAACACTTTCTCAAAACGTGTTGCTGTTTTCTAACATGTAAGATCCTGGACATGTTTGAGGAGATGCTAAAGTTAAACTAAATAGTTTTACAATCACTTTTCTGCAGGTTCGTCTGTTTTCACAAAAACCTAATTTTCTAATTTTTTTGTCTAAGACTGGTGCTTTTTGTCACACTCTCCTCT